TCTCGCTCTCTCTCGCGCTCTTTCTCGCTCTCTTTCTCTCGCTTAAACGCGCAAATGCGCGTGCACGCACACACACACACACACACACACACACACTTACGTACACGCTATCCTAACAAGAAATGTAGCAAACAAGTGATATATTTCGCTGATAAAGCGCCATGAGAATATCAAGAAGTCTTACTGTGCTGAGTACAGTATGGCTGCGACAGACGCCGTCTCCGTTGGCACAGTCGACGGCGTCCGCTTACACGCGTCAGCTCCTGACATTGTCCACGCTGAAAACAGATTGAAGAACATTGTAGTTAGTTATAGTAGAGGATTTACGTGAGCGCCATAAGATTAGAGGTGTTACTAGAGAGTAACAAACATAAAAAAGAAGGGGAGACAAGGACGATAGATGTTTGATAGGAAAGAAGAAGCACACCACACCAGAGCACCAGCCAACCACCCACTATGAACATTTAATAACAGATCCTAACTAATCAGCTTCTATTACAAAAAAGGCGAAATGAGAATGACAATATTATGTTGGAAAATGGAAGGAACGTGTAGGTGTTTTCTACGATAATAGTTGTATTGGGGTTTTGCGACGCTCGCAACAGCATAAGGTCATATGAGCGCGCGAAACAGGTTGGGTTTTTCTCAACGGTTCATTTCTCGGTTAGATACTGGTCAATATTTCTATTTTAAAAAATTTTAAACGCTCAAAATCGAGTGTAAATAGGCTTTAGATTTAAATTTAAAGTTAAAACAACTTTCTGAATAACACTTAAAATTTTCGAATAATCTATTTCATAACTTTCCATAAAGCATTGGCCTTTATAAAATCTAAATTAAATCCTATTAAATTCGGAAGATCAGGTATACAATGTTGGAAGTAAAAAGTGGAAAATACATACAGGAAACAATAGGTTGCCAAGAGCCATGGGGAAGATTGGAACATTAACTTTGTGTCAGATGCGATGCCCATCTGGTGACCGGGAATTTACCAGACTGTAGAGACCTGAATGAATTACTTTTAATGCGCTGATCGGAAGAATTTGTTCTCCTTCATTGGTCCTAACAGAAGTCTCAATTTTTCGGTCAATAATCTTAACATGCGACGTTAACGCAGTTGTGGGCGCTGTTTACCTCCAAAACAAAAGAAAACAACCAAGAAAGAGGGGGAAACATTCTAAAAGAACAAATAAGAATTTAAAAACAAAAAACAAAACAACAACAACAACAACAACAAAAACAAAAACTTACGTCGTTTGCTGCCAGTGGTTGTTGAGCCTGCAACGCCGGCATTGCAAGCTCAGGACGGGCAGGGCGTGGGTCCACTTCCATTGGCTCCGCTTGCAACACCGGCATTGCAGGACCAGCCTGTCCTACGGGACCGCCCTGTCCCACAGGAATTGCAGGCAGCACAGGTGGCTGGTCTCGGCCAGCTTCAGGCCGACCTGCAAAAGAAGAACATACGGTGCGTGAGTGAAACTCTCTTCACAACTCTGCTGCATCTTCTGGTGGCTTTTTGCTTCACGACGTTTTGCTGTAGCTATTGTAGGCGGTACTTTGGTCACTTATTGATTGATTGATTGAGTAGGCCTTTTACGGCACTATCGGCTTGATTTTGGTCATTTAAGTGCCAACAGGTTGATTGAGTAGGTGTTTTACGGCACTATCGACTTTATTTTGGTCATTTAAGTGCCAACAGGTTGATTGAGTAGGTGTTTTACGGCGCTATCGACTTTATTTTTGTCATTTAAGCGCTAACAGGTTGATTGAGTGGTGTTTTACGGAGCTATCGACTTGATTTTTGTCATTTAAGTGCCAACAGGTTGATTGAGTAGGTGTTTTACGGCGCTATCGACTTTATTTTTGTCATTTAAGCGCTAACAGGTTGATTGAGTGGTGTTTTACGGAGCTATCGACTTGATTTTTGTCATTTAAGTGCCAACAGGTTGATTGAGTAGGTGTTTTACGGCGCTATCGACCCAATTTTCGTCATTTAAGGGCCAACAGGTTTCCCTGCAACAGAATAAGACATGTTTTAGTAAGAGTCTTTTGGAGCTCGCAACCGCACACGATCACACTGTTCTCATTATGCTAAAAGGACGGACAGACATTTATGAAAATTTTTGTAAATATGGTAAAGACTTATTAACATTTGTATATATACAATATTAATTTCAGTGTATGTATATATACAATGATAACGGTAACTATATGTGAGGCAGCATGGTGGAATCAGGTTCTCGTCAATTTTTGGGCATATTGAGTTATTGGTATCATCTTAAAGTTAATACATTTGCCTTGCTTTCAATGAAAATATTACCCGTCCATCCTCAATAGAAGTGGAGATATTTTGGATTGAAGGAGGTGGGGGTCACCTGATCTAAGAGATAAAATTAGCGAGAAAATGGCCGCAATAGCTTGGTAAATTCCAAAGCTGGAGAGTCCATGGAAAATGTGAATTTATATTTTTGTGTCTTTAATCGACGTTTTTGGTGTAATCCTAAAAAGGAATGTGTTTATAAATGGAGATAAAAGATGTTGAGCCAAAAAAAAAAGGGAAAAAAATGCTATGCAGGGAGAAAACTTCTGTTTTCTTCGATTTCATTGTCTTGACGAGAGCCTGATTCCACCACGCTGCCTCACATATATTTTTGTATTCTAGTAAATAGTCCTATTTCTTTACATAACTTACATTTTTTGGGGGGGTCTACAATGTCAAAAAGAGTTTTGATATCTTTACATTTAAAATATCTATTACGTACTTCATTAAATTCGACACATTCCGTTAGGATGTGCCGAACTGTCAAATTTGTGTTGTAAGCCACGCAAAAAGGAGCTTCCTCTCCTTCGAGTAACTGTTTGTGCGTGACGTGCGTGTGTCCTATTTTTAATCTGGTATAACCCACGTTCTCTCTTCGTAGGAGAGACAGGGGTTTCCTGGGCGCAAGTTTCAGTTGAATGTAATGGAGTTTGTTGTGTATTTGTTGCGTATTTTGTTGATTCCAAATTTGGGACCAGGAGCTTTTACTTTCGGTTTCATGTCAGACAAAGGGATTTTACTCTTTTTGTTTTCAGGTAGTTTTAGAGATACTTTGGCAAATTGGTCAACGGCTTCGTTGCCATCAATGCCCACATGGCTTGAAAGCCAAGCAATAGTAATAGTTTTTCCAGACTGATGTAGAAAATGCAGTTTAATTATAAGTTTTAAAATTCTGTTGTCGGAGGTGTCAGGGCGCTCTAAAGATTTCAGACAAGATTGATTGAGTGTGATTGATTGAGTAGTTGTTTTACGGCACTATCGACTCAATTTTGGTCATTTATGCGCCAACAGGTTTCACCGCAACAGAATCAGACGTGTTTTAGTAAGAGTCTTTCGGAGCTCGCAACCGCACACGGTCATACTATTCTCATTATGCTAAAATGACGGACAGACATTTATAAAAGAAAAAATATAAATTTTTGTAAATATGGTGAAGACATTTACATTTGTATATACAATATTAATTTCAATGTATGTATATATACACTGATGACGATAACTATATAATTTCATATTCTATTAAATAGTCCTATTTCTTTATCGTATAATTTTTCTAGGGTCTACAATGTCAGAAAGGGTCTTGATATCTTTACATTTTAAAAATTTCTTACGAATATTATTAAATTCGACACATTCCGTTAGGATGTGCCGAACTGTCAAATTTGTGTTGCACGCAACGCAAAAAGGAGCTTCCTCTCCTTCAAGCAAATGTTTGTGCGTGACGTGCGTGTGTCCTATCTTTAACCTGGTAAAAATAACTTTTTCTCTTTGTAGGAGAGACAGTGGTTTCCTGGGCGCAAGTTTCGGTTGAATGTAATGGAGTTTGTTGTGTATTTGTTGTGTATTTATTGATTCCAAATTTGGGACCAGGAGCTTTTACTTTCGGTTTCATGTCAGAGAAAGGGATTTTACTATTTCTGTTTTCAGGTAGTTTTAAAGATTCTTTGACAAATTGGTCAACGGCTTCGTTGCCATCAATGCCTACATGGCTTGGAAGCCAAGCTATTGTAATAGTTTTTCCACACTGATGTAGAAAATGCAGTTTGATTAAAAGTTTTAAAATTCTGTTGTCGGAGGTGCCAGAGCGCTCTAAAGATTTCAGACAATAGAGAGAGTCTGAAAGGATTAGGAAAGTAGATTTGGTTGATTGATCTATTATATTTAGGGCCATCTCAAGAGCTGTAGCCTCAGCAGTGTAGACTGAGGCTTCTGGGTGGAGTTTCCTTAAGCTTAAGCTGTGTGGCGATGCAAGGGCAGCAGCTCCTACTGAGGAGTCATTTTTGGATCCGTCTGTAAAGAGTTTCTCTGCTTCAGGGTATTTATTTATTAGCTGTTTGTATGATTTTAGGTATGTAGCTTTGTCTGTAGACTTTTTGTTGTGTTTTTCAAGACTAGTATCTATGTTTGGTTTGGTTAAATGCCATGGAGGTACGCTGGACATGGCAAAGGGCTTGATTATGTCTTTAGAAAAATCAGTGTCTTGGAGATCGTTCTGGATTCTCATTCTGAAAGGGCTTACTTTATTTCCTAAGGAGAATAGAGTTTTTAGATCTTTGGAAAGGCCAAAGACACATTTGTGCCTGGGTTTTGGGGTACTGAGCTAAGTTTCAAAGCGTACTGCAAAGAGAGTTTTTTCATTCTAAGCTCTAAAGATGGTCCATGAGCTTCTGTCTGTAAACTTTCTACAGGTGAAGTACGGAAAGCGCCTAGGGCAAGGCGAAGGCCTTGGTTCTGAACAGAGTCTAAAATTTTAAGGTAAGACTTTCTAGCTGATCCGTAAACAGGACTGGCATAGTCCAGCCTGGAACTGACAAGGGAACGGTAAAGTTGAAGAAGTATTTTAGTATCTCCTCCCCATTCGGGATTAGATAATACTTTTAAGGCGTTGAGAGCACTCTGACACCTCGTCTTTAGGTCTTTCAAGTGTGGTAGGAAAGAACGTTTATTGTCGAAGATTACGCACAGGAAACGAGCTTGTTTTTTAACAGGAATTTTCTCCCCTAACAAATATAAATTTGGTTGTCACACACACTTGTGAGACAGACAAAAATGTACAGTTTGTTTTTATTGTAGAAAATTTAAACGCATGCCCGTTTGCGGAAGTTTCCAGTTTATGGAGTTGAAGCTGAAGCTGACGTTTAATGTGATCTATTTTGGATTTGGATTTATAGCAGATCAGGAAGTCGTCAACGTAAAGTGAACAGTCAATGTTTTGAAGGGTCTGTGTGATGGAATTGATTTTGATTTCAAAAGAATGGGTGATAAGATGCTTCCCTGGGGGACGCCTTCTTCTTGGGTGTGTAAATTTAATAGGGTTGAACCTACTCAGATGTTGAAACCTTGCTTACTACGATAGGTCTGTGTATTGATGACATCAAAAAGTGGATAGTTGATAATAAGCTCCAGCTTAATGAAAATAAAACTGAAATTCTGTTATGTAACCCAAAGAAAAGCCATATCCCCGTAGACATTGATCATATTTGTACT